TTGAGGAACTAATTAGCAAGGGACATCAGCTGGATGCAATAAACTTTGCCTATGAGGCTGGCCTTCAGGACAAGTTTACTCCTGTTTCACTGCTAAAATCCTTCCTGAAAGACTCAAATAAAGCAACTTCAACCTTTGAGGATCACAACGGTGGTGGGCAAACCACGGTACCCTACTCATTCCTGATTTTTTTTTACTTTTTAATTTGTCACATCGTATAACTTACACTGACATTTTTGGATCCCTAATCTTGGTAATGATTTGAAATGCTTCATGTGATTCTGTAGTCTGTCTAATGTTTGACATGTATGTAGAAGTCAATGGTGCTCATTCTGTTCTATTGCAGAATTACACGTGCCGCAAGGAACAGTCAATTATTCGGGCTGCTATAAAATGTATTCAAGAACACAAGCTTGAAGCCGAGTTTCCATTAGAGAGCCTTCAGAAGCGACTTGAACAATTGGAGAAGGCCAAGGTGGAGAAGAAAAAACCTTCTGGTGGTGGTCCTGCAGCTCCTGCCAACAAGCGAACACGAGCTAATAATGGGGGACCAATGCCTCCTGCCAAGGCTGGTCGTCTAACAAACAATGTGCACGTCTCCTCCCCTGCTGCTCCTGCCTTTGTACGGTCACCATCTGCCCATACCACATACCCTGCGGCAGCACCTTATCCTTATGATAGTCCAGCAGGACACGGTGTCTATGGTAGCAGGAGCCCTCCAGACATCAGGGACTCCTATAGATATCCAGCCGAAGTAGGCCCTGTCGCACTTGGTGCGCCATACCACTCACCACCTATGAGTTATCCAGTCTATGGAAATTACAATCCCTTGGGAGGATACAACAATGGAGTGGCACCAGGCTATCAACAGGCTTACTACAGGTAGGGTTGGTATCAAGACTTCAACAAGTTGACCTGGCTGGATGACATAATCACTAATAATTTTGAGCCATCTGCTTGATGGCCTATTTGTAGTGACTAACTGAATTTGTAGGATGTGTGCGCTTATTAGATGGTTTGCTTTTAGTAACTTGTTTAGATCAGCTGTATTCTGCTTTCACCTACTGTATGTAAATTATATTGGACAAAAATTTCAAAATATTTTAATCCTTTGTTGTTGAATAATTTTGCATCAAATTACTTTATTACTGTTGTAGAGGCCCATATGGCATCTTGATTATATAGGACAACTTTCAAAATGTTCAAATCCTTTGTTATTGAAAACCTTTTGCATCAAACTTCTCTTTTTCAACATATTGGACAGAAAAGAACTGTGCACACAGTTGTTTGTCTTGATCCTCTCATTCAACAAAATTTTTCCTACACTCTCTTTCAGAGCAATTATAAATCAATATTTGAACTGTATTAACCTCCTTTTTGCGGTTTCAGAATGAATTGACATTTCAGAAGAGTCTATAGGATGGCATCTTATTCAACTTGTCAACTAGTTTGAGGGTGAGAATTCTTGTTTTCAGAAACAAAATATGGTAGCTTCTACCACTAGTAGCCAAATTATTTTTGGGGTGGGATTCTTAAACCTCCATCTTGACTGATTTTATTCAACTTGTCAACTAGTTTGAGGGTGACAATTCTTGTTTTCAGAAACAAAGTATGGTGCTCAGCTTCTACCACTAGTAGCCAAATTATTTTTGGGGTGGGATTCTTATACCTCCATCTTGACTGATATTTTGGTGAGAAATTAGTTTTTTTTTCTTTTCTGGATGACCGATAAGTAGAAAATCAAACACTAAATCAGAAACTGGTCCTAAATGGAAGTAAAAGAGAAATTAACTTTGAGTTAATTTTAAAGCATCAAATTGTAGATTTGCAGAAATCAAATAAAAACTGTGCCGTAGAACTGAAACTTTTGTTATGATAAATGCTTAATAAAAGCAGATGTATCAAAGGCCGTTAATAAGATGGGGATAAAAAGGGAAAACGAATTATTCGAGAGGAGGGATGAAGAAAAAGAAAGGGAAGTCCTCAGCCTTGCCGTCCTTTACCCGTGCGGAGATGGTAGAGAGGCAAGGGAACACGTGGGACCCACCCGATGGGGGTGAGGTGGTGGGTAGAGATAATCTTGTAATTTCTAAAATATAAAACTAAAACGAATAGTATAACAGGCTAACGGGCAGGTAAATAGACCGGGCCAGGTAAACGGACCGAGCCAAGTCGAGGGCCTTTAAACCCGACCCAAGTCGTTTAAAATTGGTGCGGCTCGCCTTTAAATACCCGGGATCGAGAGTCTTCCATCCCAGTTAGTTCGAGGCACAATGGGGGGAACGAGAGCAGGAACGCCTCCTCTCCCTTCTCTCTTTCTCCTCTCCAATGCCGATGATTTGTTTTTCCTGATCTACCTCGCATTTCTACTTCTTTGTTTTCACTTTTCTCTCTTGCCTTCGATCTAAGAGGCGGCGATGATGCGACATGAAGCTTACTGACGGATTAGATCGTCTGTCATTTTGGCGCGCTTGGATCGATCATGGTGACGGCGAATCGCAGATTATCAATGCATATGTATAACCTTGATCCTAACCCTAAACTCCATCTACTTTCTTCGATGCTCGGTTTACCAATTCTAAATGGTGATGTCGGACATTTTCCAGTATTCCTTTGGAAGATGTATTTGAGGATAGTATTTACAGATGTGGAGCTCATCTGAAGGTAAGTTTCGGAGGAGCATATCGTATACTTCCCGAGTCACTGATATCACGATTCTTGGGGGCGTGCATTCTATCTTGTTGGCGGAGATTGCAATGTATATATTGCAGTAATTAATCCTGAATGAAACCCTAGTTAGAAATAATGATGTTCGTCATTAATACCTTAAATGATCTCAGGTCACAATGTTATTAGTTTCTTGGTTTTGATTAGCATTCATTTTTTTTTACATTCATGTACCTGTAATTTTGAGTGACGTGATCTGGAAAATTCTTAGTAGAGATTATACTCATACCCTTAGCAGGTGTATCTGAATGTAGTTACATCTTATTTTCTTCATAACCTTATTCCCATGTCTTGATGTTGCGGTGTCATCCGACTCTTTGTTGTCTGATATTGCAATCCTAAACAGAATGATGACAATAGCGGAAGACTGTGTGTTCCAAGAATCTGTTTGCAAAAGGTGTACTAGTTGCTGGAAATATGGACTTTGTAGTGTTGTGTATACTTTTCCAAAGCATTTAGTTGCTTGCTTTTATAGGAAACTAAAATAATTTGGATTCCAGATTTTAGATTTGTATGGTCTGCTGCAAGTTAAAAATGAATAATATAGGTATAGATTTTGTAATTTATTATTTCTTTGTAGATTTTTATTATTATCCATGTTTATTTTCTAATTATTTGTTCATTTTTCATTGAACAATCATCATTATTTGTTTTCAGCATATATGAGGTTGTCACTTGCTGTACTTAAGGCTTGCAATGTTGTGTAACATATTATAAAGGTTTGTGTCTACGTTAAAATGGTGATCTCTTGCTGTGTAAGATTTTGACATTTTTATGGATATTCTCTAGGAATGTTTTTTGTTTGAAAGTTCATGTACAGTTACGCTGCATTAAAGATGGTACAAACTATCACCGTGTTAAGTTTGGATGTTTTACAGTGTTTATTGTCTTTTGCATTTGCCTCATCCATAAAGGGATAGTTCTAGAATTTGGGGCTCATTATAAGCTCTTTAGTAGGATTTCTTGTTTGAATGAACCCACCTTGAGAGGTCCTTTTTTCTCATGTTATCATGGAGTTATGCTTGCGATGCACTTCCATGTCCAGGTACATTGTTAATGTTTGAAACAATGAGACATCCAGGGGAAAATGCATGTGGTTGTTGTGGCTGTTCTTATTATTTAAGATAGTTGTTCACTGTCATGCTACTGCTTATACTTGTTTGAATTATATGTCCCATATAGCAAATGATTCTTTGTACCGTTTGCATAATTGCTTTTTCAGGTAGTCGGGATTGTGCTTGTGTTGATGATGTTGTAGCCCTCTTTAATCCATTTATTAAGCATCCATTAAGCTAGATGATATGAAATGATCATTGTCTGCTGCAAACAACAAATAGTTCTTAGTTTTTTATTCTCAATTAGGGTTCTTATTTAACTGAGGTATTTAGAGGATATGGAGCATATTTTGGTGTGGGGAAAGAAATAATACAAGGATTGCTTCTTTTCTTTCAACCTTTTTCTTTTTAACCTTTCATAGCTTTGATGATTTATATTTTTTTTTTATAAATTTCACTGTATTATTTTCATCTTTGCTTCTCGGTATCTTGCTTTTGAATTATGAAGAGGCTATGATGATAAATAAAAGTCAATGATGGATTTGACCAATCACCATTTGGGCTTTTAAACGCAAGATTGTTTCTCGATGGTGTTGGCAAGTCACAGATTCTTATGCATTAGTATGAAGCATAAAGGCTTTATGATCTCTTTCAATGCTCGGTTTTCCAATCTTAAAAGGATGATGGCGAGGCAGTTTGGATGGCCTTCATGGCAACCATTGTAGCCATGTCCATCTCTTAGGATGGGATTTGGGCAAGAAGAGGGAAGACCTATGGTCTGTTCTTGTGATTGACAAAAGATGAATTTGAGCCTCCTATTTCTTATTTTGTAAAGGATCTTTTGATTATTTTTACTATTTAAATGTTTAAAATCATTTCATGCCTGATCAAGGGTTACTATACATGTTTTCTACATTTTTCTCTTTTCTTGGTTCAATTATTTTAATATGTACTCATGGTATATTTGCTTAAGTGGTGTTAATTTTTCTGAGAATTGTTTTGATGTAGACATTATAGAAAATTTATTTTTCAACCAAAATGACATTTTTAAATATTAACAAGTTTGGTGTGCTTTCATAATTTTGTTTCAAGTTTTTTTTTGTTCATCTGAGATTTGGATCACTTTAAGCTTCTATGAGAAGTTTACATGTTATCTTCAACATTATCTTAATTTTGGTATTTTTAAGAATTATTATCAGATGTTAAAAATCAATTGAGGAAAAAAATATGGCAATGTGATAATTGGTCCAGTTAAAGAAAGTCTTTGAGTTTTGCTACAGCAAATTGTATTTGGTGGGAACTTTGAATGGGTACAATTTGGTGTTAGAAACTTAGATGGTTTTCTTTTTTAAATGAACAGATCATTTTTGCTCACATTGTCATGGATTTATGCTTGCAAAATACATTCATGTCAAGTTAAATCGTTATTGTTTGAAGCAAAGAAGCATCTAGGGGAGTGCACATGTGGTTATTGGGGCTGTTCTTGCCATGTCAGATAAATTGTTTCCTATGTTTGTTGTCGTGCTATTGTTTGTACTTGTTTGTTATTCAGGGCTTAAATCCTATGCCCCATAATGCATATGATTCTTTGTACCGTTTGTGCAAATGCTTGTTCAGGTAGTAGGGGTTGCAATTGTGTTGATGACATTGTTGCCGCTGCATTGGTTAAGCATTGATTAAGCTAGATGATGTAAAATGATCATAAATGATCATTGTCCACTGCAAACAACAAATAGTTCTTAGTTTTTTATTGTCAATTAGGTTTCTTATTTAACTGAGGTATTTAGGGGATATGGAGCATGTTTTGGTGTGGGGAAAGAAATAATACATTAAAGAGGATTGCTTCTTTTCTTCCAACCTTTTTCTTTTTATCATTTCATAGCTTTGATGATTTATATTTTTTTTTGTAAATTTCACTGTATTGTTTTCATCTTTGCTTCTCTGTATCTTGCTTTTGAATTACGAAGAGGCTATGATGATAAATAAAAGTCAATGATGGATTTGACCAATCACCATTTGGGCTTTTAAACACAAGATTATTTCTCCATGGTGTTGGCAAGTCACAGATTATTATGCATTAGTATGAAGCATAAAGGCTTTATGGTCTCTTTCAATGCTCAGTTTTCCAATCTTAATAGGATGATGGCGAGGCAGTTTGGATGGCCTTCATGGCAACCACTACAGCCATGTCTATCTCTTAGGATGGGATTTGGGCAAGAGGAGGGAAGACCTATGATCTGTTATTGTGATTGACAAAAGATGAATCTGAGCCTCATATATCTTATTTTGTAAAGGATCTTTTGATTATTTTTACTATTTAAATGTTTAAAATCATTTCATGCTTGATCATGGGTTACTATACATGTTTCTCCTTTTTTCTCTTTTCTTGGTTCAATTATTTTAAATATACTCATGGTATATTTGCTAAAGTGGTGTTAATTTTTCTGAGAATTGTTTTGATGTAGACAATACAAAAAAAATATTTTTCAACCAAAATGACATTTTTAAATATTAACAAGTTTGGTATGCTTTCATAATTTTGTTTCAAGTTTTTTTTTGTTCATATGAGATTTGGATCACTTTAAGCTTCTATGAGAAGCTTACATGTTATCTTCAACATTATGTTAATTTTGGTACTTTTAAGAATTATTATCAGTTGTTAAAAATCAATTGAGGAAAAAAATATGGTAATGTGATAATTGGTCCAGTTAAAGAAAGTTTTTGTGTTTTGCTACAACAAACTGTATTTGGTGGGAACTTTGTATAGGTACAATCTAGGGTTAGAAACTTAGAAGGTTTTCATTTTTGAATGAAGAGATCCTTTTTGCTCACATTGTCATGGATTTCTGATTGCAAAACACTCTCATGTCCAAGTAAATCATTATTGTTTGAAGCAATGAAGCATCTAGGGGAGTGCATGTGGTTATTGGGGCTGTTCTTGCCATGTCCGATAAATTGTTTCCTATCTTTGTTGTCGTGCTATTGTTTGTACTTGTCTGTTATTCAGGGCTTAAATCCTATGCCCCATAATGCATATGATTCTTTGTACCATTTGTGCAAATGCTTGTTCAGGTAGTAGGGGTTGCAATTGTGTTGATGACATTGTTGCCCCTGCATTGGTTAAGCATTGATTAATCTAGATGATGTAAAATGATCATAAATGATCATTGTCTGCTGCAAACAACAAATAGTTCTTAGTTTTTTATTCTCAATTAGGGTTCTTATTTAACTGAGGTATTTAGAGGATATGGAGCATATTTTGGTG